CCCTCAAGGCCTGATTTCCGCCGGGGATGTTTTCAACTGCCGCACTGATGCTGCGTTCGATGCAATCCCGAATTTCGCCAAGGTTGTAGATGATTGCCTGGCCTATGATGACGACTTTGCCTCCCATGTCACCCATGTTCGTGACATCCTGCTGTGTGCTCGACAGCATGGCATTACTCTGAGCCCGTCCAAATTCACCTTTGCGTCACGTCACATCCATTTCTGCGGCTACATTGTCAGTCCAGACGGCTGGGTTGTTGACGATGACAAGGCAGCGGCTATTCGCGATTTTGACATTCCTGCGAACCGCACTGATTTGCGTTCGTTTCTTGGCCTGGTGAACCAGTGTAGCGAGTTCTCACCACACCTCGCCGCCTGCACCACTCCGCTTCGTGGTCTGTTAAAGACGACCCGTGAATTTGTCTGGGATGCCAACCACACTGTTGCGTTCGAGAAGACCAAGTCTACTCTGCTGTCTCCTCCTATCCTGGCCTTCTACCAGCATGGACACGACCTCCGTCTGGAGACTGATGCCTCTGCACTACGTGGTCTCGGCTTCGTTCTGTGGCAGAAGCAGGATGATAAGTGGCGAATCATCCAGTGTGGCTCCCGCTACCTCTCTGACGCCGAATCTCGCTATGCTGTTGTTGAGCTCGAGATGCTCGCCGTCGTTTGGGCTGTGCATAAGTGCAAGTTGTACTTATCCGGCACCCTATTTAATCTGATCACTGATCACCGTCCGTTGATCCCGATTATCAACGCGTATTCTCTAGATCAGATCGAGAATCCTCGCCTTCTCCGTCTTCGCCTGAAGCTGCAGTCGTTTCAAGTGCACGCTTCCTGGCGAAAAGGCTCTGATCACGCGTTTGCTGATGCGTTGTCTCGCAATCCCGTTGGCATCCCGTCTTCAGATGATGAACTCGGCGAAGCCCCTGCTCTTCATTGCCGCAGCATCCGTGTGTGCATGCTCCGTGACGATGGTCCTCACCCCAACCTGAAGTTTGCTGAACTTCGAGCAGCCGCCTCAGCTGATCCAGTCTATCAGTCTCTTGTCCAGTGCGTTCTGCATGGTTTTCCCGCTCGTCAGCGTGATTTGGATGCTCCGCTCCAACCTTTCTGGAATGGACGTGAACACCTGTCAGTGGACCAGGGCATTGTCATGAAAGGCCAACGCATTCTTGTTCCCTTGGCCATGCGTCAACGTGTTCTCGCTAATCTTCATGCCTCACATCAAGGTCTCGTCCGTACCAAGGCTCGCGCCCGACAGCTCGTGTACTGGCCTGGTCTCACCGCCGACATAGACACCCTTGTCCGTGCCTGTTCCGCGTGTCGAGAATTCCAGTCGTCGCAGTCAGCCGAACCACCGATGAATGACCGTCATCCTACTCTGCCGTTCGAGTTTGTGTCCGCTGATCTGTTCTCTTGCCAAGGCTATGAGTTTCTTGTTTATGTCGACCGTCTGACTGGTTGGCCGTGCGTTGTTCGAACCGGCAGGACCACGTCATCACACGATGTCATCCTCGCTTGTCGTCGTTGGTTCGCCGATCTGGGTGTGCCTGCTGTACTGTGCACCGACGGTGGCCCCCAGTTTGCATCGAAGAAGTTTGCCGACTTCTGTAGCCGTTGGCAAGTGCAACGCGTATCCTCTTCCCCGCATTATCCCCAGAGTAATGGACATGCGGAAGCCGCAGTGAAAGCTATGAAGCGCTTGCTGCTCAAGACCTCGTCAAATGGCAATCTCGACACAGATGCATTTCGTCGTGGTCTACTGGAGTGGCGGAATACGCCCGGTCCGTCTGGCAAGAGCCCAGCTGAGCATCTTCTCGGGCATCCACTTCGGTCTTTCGTCATTGCTGAGTGGACGCAGTTTGATTCCTCGTGGTCGACCGTCGCTAGTGAGCGTGAAGAACAGTCACCACCCTCGACACCTGTTTCCGCCAGTACTCCCACCCACCGCTCTCTTCCCGCTCTACGTCTCGGCACTCCTGTGGACGTCCAGGATCCGAAGACGAAGCGTTGGACAACCCGTGGCGTGATTGTGGCCATTGGGCAGCACCGTGCCTATTTCGTCAAGTTGGCTAGTGGTCGAGTTTATTGGAGAAATCGCCGTTTTCTTCGTCCGTTCTCTCCACCCGTGCCGTCACCAGCACCATGTGTTTCACCACAGCCGTCTGTTGTCGTTGCTCCTGCTACGCCTCCTCCTCTGCGTCGCAGCACACGAGCACACCAACCACCCTCTCGTTTGAACATTTCCTCCACCCGTGGACAGCCTTATGCATCTTGATTTGTTCTGGACACATCGTGTACATGTTCTTGAGGATTGTTCTTATATCGTATCTTTCTGTATCCTTGTGTGGCATGCTATGTCTGTTCCGCCGTGTGCTATGGGCCGTTGTTTGCCATACTTGTTCTTTTCTTGTTTTGATTTGATAGATAATACTGGATTTGTTTTCTCAGCATTATCTCGAAGGGGCGTGATGTATATGGATTCCCCCATGCCATATTTGACCTGTAGTTCATGTACTCCCGTACTAGATTTGTACCACAGTTGTATGACCTCGCACCATAACGGCATGCTTGCTTGGCTTGGGAGATACTTCCGTGCTTCATGTGTTTTGCCTCTTCAGTTGTGTTTTCCTTCTCTTCAGATTTGTTTTATAATAAATGTCTTCTTGCTATCTGTAGACATATCAGACGGGAGACCAAATTTTTGATGTTGTCCAAGTCAAGGACTTCGAGAACTGGTAAATGCGCATGCGCGGCGCAATGCAGTATGACTCCAGATCTTGACCGCGTACCGGCTGACTGAAGTTCTTGACCGGTTAAGCGGTCAAGATCGACTGATCTTGACTGCTTATTCTGGTCGCCCATTGGCCGTCACCTGGCAACAAGCACGTGCCGTGTATGAAGTAATAGTAATACAGTACTAGTACATTATTTGTTGGTGTCTCATTTGTTATTTGAAAGTATGTACTGCAACGGCCCGGATACCATGTCCATGCCATATCGCGCCAGGCCATGCAGAAAGGCAAAAGAGCAAAAAAGCTGTACACGCAGCAGCCCCACCCAAGTAAAAAATATTTTAAAATAATCAACCACAATAACAGTTACAGTCATTTACCATGATATACAATGAAAGAAGAAGAAGAAAAAGTAGCAAAAGATCGGGTTGCGTCAGAGTGTCTGGAGTGTGTGAAGAATCAAACTTTCCAGTTTGATCTAGAAGTCATACGAAGTACACTCTCAACTGAGCCGACCCACCAGCTGGTTCTCATTACACTCTCTTGTACTAGTTATCAGGGGTGGATCCAGGAGGGGTTCCGCGGAACCCCCTACATTTCGTAAGCTTATGTTAGGCACTTCACCCCATTTTTTGAAATCGCGTTTTTTCCAGGTTTATCATCGGCAATCGATGGTGGTGGGTATCACAAGGTCACACAGAAAATTTTATTGAAATCCACAGTGATACCACTCAGATATGAAGGGTGGAAGATAGGCAGTTGGATGAGGCGAGATCAATACAATTTGTGGCACCAACAGCATCTCCGAAAGTATCATCAGTGGATATAGTCACAAAACATCAGAGTGTTTTTTTCAAGCACACATCACTCACTTACACCGACAACCCTGTATGGATCGAAACAATACAGATCAAAGTTCAGAATAGGCAAGAATACGGCAATTGTGACCGCAATCACTATAGCAACTCCATAGCAACCCATAGCAACGCCATAGTAACCCATAGTAACAGCTTCAGTTTGCTGTGAAATGAACTGATAACGACATACTGGCAGGCTCCAGCGGGTACAAAAGCGTAAGAGTTATAAAGACATTCTTCTGGCACAAAAACAACAGAGAACTTCCTCGTTGTACGCCGGACACCGCAACGTGGAGGGTATGTACGCGCGCGCGCGAATTACTGCACAGGACATTCGTGCTCACAGTCATGCCACTTCAAGTGATTCCAAGTTGGCAAGAAGTTCTTCAGGACCTCTGTTGGTAGCTTCTTTCCATGGTGTGATATTTGCCTCCCTACCCTTCAACTGCTCCATGCAACAGTCATGAATTGCCTGCTGGTGAGCTTTGAAATTTTGGTGAAGCGTGCCTGGCTGCGTATATCAAAGCATCCCCTCATCAGAGGGTTTCTCCAGCAGCCACTGTGCCTTTTGATTGTTCGTAAACATCAGTAGGCCTTCCAGCGCAACCGTGTCAAAACTTGGCTTTCAGTACGCTTTGAGGATTCGCCCAGGTAGGACGACGCATCGTCGTTCTCCTCCGCCTAAAGCGCATACTTCTCAGTGCCTACGTACATAATGTCTCCTTGCGCAGCGATGCGCAAACCCTGGTAAACAAGAACTCTACTGTTTCCGAATGGAAAGACGACGCTGAAGACGATAAGCAACGTTTCAAACGCGAGCAAACAACAGTTCTTTGTGAAAAAACTCTTTGCTGGTAGTGTACGTGTTCTACAACTCGCAAAAATGTACGCACTATGACGTATGCGGGATCGACTGAAAGCTGAACGTCAGAGCAACACGATGCGCCCAACTATCACTAGTATCAGCCCGTACAACGAAGCATAGCGCGTACCTGTACAGTTTAGCGCATGCACTTGACTGGTGCCACGCAAGTACGCACTCTCACCTCAGCAAATTTTGACAGGTCCTGTCACGTGACTGAAGTGCCTACTAGTTATTTAGAAAAGCGATCCTGTCAGCTTTTCTATTATTGTGTTCACATGGCAAGAAAAACGACACCGCTATGCTACGTAAGTTTCTACGTAAGGTGCTCGGTATTTCACTTAGGCTACGTAAGTCTCTACGTAAGGTGCTCGGATCTACCAACGCGCAACGGTTGGTAGCCGCGTGCTGTGCACGTGCACGGCAGACATTGTGTTGCATGCAGTGCAGTCCGTGTTCGGATGTGCATGCGCGAGGAACTTCCTCCTTTGGAACTGCTTCTTGTATGAGCTGTTTCGGATATTTCGTCTCCTAGATCCTGGCCTGACTTATTTCGTTTCGGCACTGCTGAGACCTCCTTTCGCGGAATATTACTCAATATCGACAGGTGAGTTGACCAGTTACCTTTGATTCTTTTGCTTGTGTTGACTCTTTCATTTGCGAAAAGTGTGCTCATTTTGGGCGGAATGCAATAAATAATGGAAAAGCTGGCAGGATCTCTTTTCTAAATTTAGCTTTTCCGCTGCCGAGGCCCCCTTTTACGGAATACTCGATGACAGGTGATCTCTGAGTTGACCGGTTTCCTTCGATTCATTTGCTTATGCTCACCCTTTCATTTACGGAAACGTGTGCTGATTTTATTCGGATTTAGATCCATTTTTATCTCTTTGCCCTTGTCTACAGTGTGCGAAGAACGCGAGTTCACCTTCTTGACGGTAAGGCTTATGTTAGATGTGTTGTCGAAATACTCATATTCATTGTACATTGGTACGTTACAAGTAAGGCACTGTACTGGTCAGTGGCATACTATCGTTGGCAGGTCCCAATCTGGAGGGAAAGGTTCAAGGACCCATTGACCGAGTTTGCAAAAATAAATTCGCATATCAGGGAAAACCCCATTGTGGAGAGGTTCAGTAAACTTGTATGATTAGATTTGTTTACTCGAGTCTGGGCTGTTTGATTTATTATTTGTGAGTTCCGCCGAGATTGCACTGCCCCAAACGAAGTTTCGTGCCGCCAAGGCAAGAATTACGATCTGCAATCTGTTTGTAGTACCTGCAAGAATGTGCTGTACATGTATCGTACTTTCTCTGTTGCTGTTTCAGTTGCCGTCATGTTGCTAAAGAAACGTTCAGTAGAGAGGTTCTGCAAAACGAAAATTCGAACGAAGTTTCGCGACAGTCATTGCGAAAGTGTGTACGAATTTTTGCACAAACTTTGCGTTCTGCACGCTTTCGTAGTTTGCGCGGACCAAGTGCACGTACGCCATGACCCGATCTCACGAAAGTGTGTACGACTGTTCATTTCGCGTTCCCTGCAAGTTTCGCGTCCAAAGTTGCGAAAGTTCGTGCGAAGTTTCGCACTTCAGGACGTGGAACGACTGTTTGTACGCATTTTCGTTTTGCAGAACCTCTCTAGTGACTCATTTGTTTCATACGAGACGAGTCAATGAGTTGGTGTGGCTTAGAATCTTTCGCTGTAGAAGAAATCTATTCGTATGTCTATTGGAGAAATAATTGTATTCACTGGTTATAAAATAGGTTAAGACAAACTCACAGAATAAATACCATCGGTCCCTTGGTGTTCGTCCTAAAGAGGTTCGACTGGATATCATTCATACTCACCAAAAATGTGTACGATTCTATTATTATGAAGTGCCTTGTTTATCTCTCAGTACCTCCAACCATAGCCTTGCCCCTTTTATCCTCAGGATCATTGTAGTTGTTGGAACGAGGTGTCGGACTCAGCAATGTATTTGTTTACATTTTAATACATGTTTATTGTTCCTCCTTTGCTGTGTTGTTTTAGAAAATCGTGGACTAACAGTTCGAAGTCATTGAACTACTTCCAAAAGTTGTATCGACATCAACAGGGTTACGATTTCAGTGCAATATGGTGCAGGATGACCTTATCACGATAACCCATGATTATAAACACAGAATCAACAAAAACATCTGCGACACGCACCTGGTTACATTTCTCAAATAAATCTGATCGAGGGTGGGGAAATCTGAAATATCTGAAAGGCAAGACAATTTTATGACAGAGTCATGAAATTCTGCTACAGCAACATGCACAGAATGACCTCCGTATAAAAAAGGTATCACCACGGTCCACCACTACTCACATGTATCCCCGCAGAAGAACATGCTAGTCCCATTTTCTGCAAGAAAAGGCTTGCACATCAATGCGTATAATACGGTATTGATATGATGTGACGGCCATCATTTACATATTGATAGGGCATTTCATTGATTGGTGACAGAAAAAACAAAAGAAATTATAGCAATAAAAACTGCTTTATGGCAGTTTTCTAAAAAAGGTTATTGTGTTCTAGTCCATGGACCCCGTCTAAAAAGTAAGAAATTAACGAAATGTGATAGCTGAAAATTAAAATTTCACACAAAACCTCACAATAATCACACACAGAATGAAAAGCTACATGTAGAAGACCTTTTCTCCTCGTGATCCTCTTTCCTATGCATGCATGTTGCCAATTGTTGGTGGAGCACAAGTTTAGTGTTGAAAGCAGCATTTCAAGTGTTGTGATTATTGTGAGGTTTTGTGTGAAATTTTAATTTTCAGCTATCACATTTCGTTAATTTCTTACTTTTTAGACGGGGTCCATGGACTAGAACACAATAACCTTTTTTAGAAAACTGCCATAAAGCAGTTTTTATTGCTATAATGTACTACTGCTAGTAGTAGTACTGCACTGGCAACCATAGGCGCACGCGCGTCCATGTACATGTAGATGTACATGTGGCCGACTGAGCTACAGTCGTCCCTCTCTAATCCGGCACCTTTTGCAACAGCATCTGTTACTATAGTAGTCTATTTTTGCTCTAGTTATGTCACATGTTCACAGACAGACACGCAAAGCATGACTCATGTCACTCGTTTACTTCAGCTTGTTAGTTTCAGCCGGCATGAAGCCGGCATTGAAGGTATAAAAGCAAGACACCTATAGGGCCTAGGGTGGTGGATGGGGACGTGGTGGACTCAGCTTGTGAGTTTCAGCAGCTCCGTGCTGGAGCAGGACCATGATATTTCTCAGAGTAAGGCTCAAACGTGAGTGCTCAGAACCTGCAGCCTTACTAGGGCTTGTGGACGTCTTCTTTCCTTGTGTGCTTTTCGCAGCGAGAAACAGGACCAGCTGCTAGGTCGGTTGGCGTTTCTGGTCTCCCTACAGACATCCAAGGCAGTAGCCAGCAAATAATTTGGGAGACGGGAGACCAAATTTTTGATGTTGTCCAAGTCAAGGACTTCGAGAACTGGTAAATGCGCATGCGCGGCGCAATGCAGTATGACTCCAGATCTTGACCGCGTACCGGCTGACTGAACCCTGAAGTTCTTGACCGGTTAAGCGGTCAAGATCGACTGATCTTGACTGCTTATTCTGGTCGCCCATTGGCCGTCACCTGGCAACAAGCACGTGCCGTGTATGAAGTAATAGTAATACAGTACTAGTACATTATTTGTTGGTGTCTCATTTGTTATTTGAAAGTATGTACTGCAACGGCCCGGATACCATGTCCATGCCATATCGCGCCAGGCCATGCAGAAAGGCAAAAGAGCAAAAAAGCTGTACACGCAGCAGCCCCACCCAAGTAAAAAATATTTTAAAATAATCAACCACAATAACAGTTACAGTCATTTACCATGATTTACAATGAAAGAAGAAGAAGAAAAAGTAGCAAAAGGTCGGGTTGCGTCAGAGTGTCTGGAGTGTGTGAAGAATCAAACTTTCCAGTTTGATCTAGAAGTCATACGAAGTACACTCTCAACTGAGCCGACCCACCAGCTGGTTCTCATTACACTCTCTTGTATTAGTTATCAGGGGCGGATCCAGGAGGGGTTCCGCGGAACCCCCTACATTTCGTAAGCTTATGTACTACTGCTAGTACTGCACTGGCAACCATACGCGCACGCGCGTCCATGTACATGTAGATGTACATGTGGCCGACTGAGCTACAGTCGTCCCTCTCTAATCCGGCACCTTTTGCAACAGCATCTGTTACTATAGTAGTCTATTTTTGCTCTAGTTATGTCACATGTTCACAGACAGACACGCAAAGCATGACTCATGTCACTCGTTTACTTCAGCTTGTTAGTTTCAGCCGGCATGAAGCCGGCATTGAAGGTATAAAAGCAAGACACCTATAGGGCCTAGGGTGGTGGATGGGGACGTGGTGGACTCAGCTTGTGAGTTTCAGCAGCTCCGTGCTGGAGCAGGACCATGATATTTCTCAGAGTAAGGCTCAAACGTGAGTGCTCAGAACCTGCAGCCTTACTAGGGCTTGTGGACGTCTTCTTTCCTTGTGTGCTTTTCGCAGCGAGAAACAGGACCAGCTGCTAGGTCCGTTGGCGTTTCTGGTCTCCCTACAGACATCCAAGGCAGTAGCCAGCAAATAATTTGGGAGACGGGAGACCAAATTTTTGATGTTGTCCAAGTCAAGGACTTCGAGAACTGGTAAATGCGCATGCGCGGCGCAATGCAGTATGACTCCAGATCTTGACCGCGTACCGGCTGACTGAAGTTCTTGACCGGTTAAGCGGTCAAGATCGACTGATCTTGACTGCTTATTCTGGTCGCCCATTGGCCGTCACCTGGCAACAAGCACGTGCCGTGTATGAAGTAATAGTAATACAGTACTAGTACATTATTAAATTTTGTTGGTGTCTCATTTGTTATTTGAAAGTATGTACTGCAACGGCCCGGATACCATGTCCATGCCATATCGCGCCAGGCCATGCAGAAAGGCAAAAGAGCAAAAAAGCTGTACACGCAGCAGCCCCACCCAAGTAAAAAATATTTTAAAATAATCAACCACAATAACAGTTACAGTCATTTACAATGATATACAATGAAAGAAGAAGAAGAAAAAGTAGCAAAAGGTCGGGTTGCGTCAGAGTGTCTGGAGTGTGTGAAGAATCAAACTTCAGTTTGATCTAGAAGTCATACGAAGTACACTCTCAACTGAGCCGACCCACCAGCTGGTTCTCATTACACTCTCTTGTACTAGTTATCAGGGGCGGATCCAGGAGGGGTTCCGCGGAACCCCCTACATTTCGTAAGCTTATGTACTACTGCTAGTACTGCACTGGCAACCATACGCGCACGCGCGTCCATGTACATGTAGATGTACATGTGGCCGACTGAGCTACAGTCGTCCCTCTCTAATCCGGCACCTTTTGCAACAGCATCTGTTACTATAGTAGTCTATTTTTGCTCTAGTTATGTCACATGTTCACAGACAGACACGCAAAGCATGACTCATGTCTAGGCCTTGACGGATTATGCTAGCATAATTTTTCGCATAAATCCTACCAAAATCGAATAATCGCATAATTCGAGGCAAATTGCATACGAATCGCATAAAATTGTAATAATCCGCCTGTTCGCATCAAATTCCATACAGTTGTACATGTTCTACAAGTACAAGTACAAGTGGATGCACTAGGAAGTTGTAGGTTTACGACTCCCTTGATAACATGTCCAGTCCACTACAATCAGTGATGGTCGTAGCAAGGTCGGACGGTGCGTTGACCCCGTTAAACGTTTGCTACTACAGTACAACGCCCTCTACAAAAAATTTCCCCTGTTATTTTGCACAGAACCATTATACATTAGCAGCATATGTGAGCATAATGCAGCATAATATGATAACTTTTAGCATAAAAATAGCATACTTCTGCAATTTTTTCAGCAATGCGAAAAGCATAATTTCACGAAAATATTAGCATAATCCGTCAAGGCCTACTCATGTCACTCGTTTACTTCAGCTTGTTAGTTTCAGCCGGCATGAAGCCGGCATTGAAGGTATAAAAGCAAGACACCTATAGGGCCTAGGGTGGTGGATGGGGACGTGGTGGACTCAGCTTGTGAGTTTCAGCAGCTCCGTGCTGGAGCAGGACCATGATATTTCTCAGAGTAAGGCTCAAACGTGAGTGCTCAGAACCTGCAGCCTTACTAGGGCTTGTGGACGTCTTCTTTCCTTGTGTGCTTTTCGCAGCGAGAAACAGGACCAGCTGCTAGGTCGGTTGGCGTTTCTGGTCTCCCTACAGACATCCAAGGCAGTAGCCAGCAAATAATTTGGGAGACGGGAGACCAAATTTTTGATGTTGTCCTAGTCAAGGACTTCGAGAACTGGTAAATGCGCATGCGCGGCGCAATGCAGTATGACTCCAGATCTTGACCGCGTACCGGCTGACTGAACCCTGAAGTTCTTGACCGGTTAAGCGGTCAAGATCGACTGATCTTGACTGCTTATTCTGGTCGCCCATTGGCCGTCACCTGGCAACAAGCACGTGCCGTGTATGAAGTAATAGTAATACAGTACTAGTACATTATTTGTTTGTGTCTCATTTGTTATTTGAAAGTATGTACTGCAACGGCCCGGATACCATGTCCATGCCATATCGCGCCAGGCCATGCAGAAAGGCAAAAGAGCAAAAAAGCTGTACACGCAGCAGCCCCACCCAAGTAAAACATATTTTAAAATAATCAACCACAATAACAGTTACAGTCATTTACCATGATTTACAATGAAAGAAGAAGAAGAAAAAGTAGCAAAAGGTCGGGTTGCGTCAGAGTGTCTGGAGTGTGTGAAGAATCAAACTTTCCAGTTTGATCTAGAAGTCATACGAAGTACACTCTCAACTGAGCCGACCCACCAGCTGGTTCTCATTACACTCTCTTGTATTAGTTATCAGGGGCGGATCCAGGAGGGGTTCCGCGGAACCCCCTACATTTCGTAAGCTTATGTACTACTGCTAGTACTGCACTGGCAACCATACGCGCACGCGCGTCCATGTACATGTAGATGTACATGTGGCCGACTGAGCTACAGTCGTCCCTCTCTAATCCGGCACCTTTTGCAACAGCATCTGTTACTATAGAGAGTATAGTAGTCTATTTTTGCTCTAGTTATGTCACATGTTCACAGACAGACACGCAAAGCATGACTCATGTCACGCGTTTACTTCAGCTTGTTAGTTTCAGCCGGCATGAAGCCGGCATTGAAGGTATAAAAGCAAGACACCTATAGGGCCTAGGGTGGTGGATGGGGACGTGGTGGACTCAGCTTGTGAGTTTCAGCAGCTCCGTGCTGGAGCAGGACCATGATATTTCTCAGAGTAAGGCTCAAACGTGAGTGCTCAGAACCTGCAGCCTTACTAGGGCTTGTGGACGTCTTCTTTCCTTGTGTG